CGTCGCACTCGATCGTATGCGGGAGAGACACCAAGTCACCGTGGTGTCTCTTGTTGGTACATCATGAAGTTGTTCCAGGACACTGTTGCGTAGATGGCGGGGTAGCACAAGTAGTTCCGGCATTGAATCTCCGAGGGTACAGAATGTCATGCAGCTCGAACAGACGGACAGACGGGTCGAATAATGGGGACGTTAGATGGTTGATAATAGCCATTAAAGATGGGAGATGGGTCCCGTAGCTGTTCATCGGTGATGTCAAGCAAAGCGCAGATGGACGGCCCGCAAGGGTCCAAGTCAAGGTCTTGTAGTTTGTGCTCTTTAACTGGATGACATGACAGTCTGCGTCTGTGTGAAGTCGCCCCGACTTGTAATGTATTTCAAACTAATATTCCTGAAGAAGTAGTGCCCAGCAATCGAGACGTCCAGACGGGTCCTTTAGTGATGAGAGCCAGCAAACAGCATGACGGTCTGTGACTACGGAAAAAGTAAGGCCATATAGGTAGGGCCTGAATTTGGTCACAGCCCACACTAGCGTTACGCATTCACGCTCAGTGATGAAGAATTTCTGCTCGGCGGACGAAAGGAGACAACTGGCTTAAGCAATTACTCTATCCTTGCCGTGCTGTCGCTGACCGAGAATCACCACAATTCCGTGGCCACTGGCATCGATCCGAAGCTCTGTATGCAAAGCAGGGTCAAAATAGGCTAGTATTGGCGGCGTAGTCAGCAGATGAATAAGGGTAGAAAAAGAGCTTGCTTGGCACCCCACGTGAAAGAAGCATTTTTTTTAAGAGATCAGTGAGAGGCCGGGCAATGTGAGCGAAGTTGTGGATGAAGCGATGAAAATAGGAACATAATTCTACAAAATTGCGGAAGTCCTTGGTTGAGCACGGTATAGGGAATTCTTGCACTGCGCGGACCTTATCCGGGTTCGGTCGAACGCCGACAGCACATGCAAGGTGACCAAGTTTAGTGGGTTCGTGCCACCCAAAACAGTACTTTGCCGAATTCAGTTGAAGAGCGGCTCTGCGAAAAACATCCAGAACGGCAGACCGATGTCTGAGATGGCTGTCAAATGTAGGGGGAATAGATGATGGCATCGTCCAGGTAATATAAACAGATTGACCACTTATATCCATGGAGAAGGAAGTTCATGCGTTTTAAAATTGCCGGGGCATTGCAAAGTCCAAATGGCATGATCTTGAATTGATAGAGACCATCGGGCGTCACAAAAGCAGTTTTTTCACGCACCATGGAGTCGAATGAAATTTGCCAACAACCAGACCAAAGGTCGACCGATGAAAAGTATTGTGCACCATCAAGGCAATCAAGAGCGTAATCGATCCGAGGCAAAGGGTAGAGGTCTTTATGAGTTACTTTGTTTAAGTGGTGATAACCAACACAAAAGTGCCAGCTTCCATCCCCTTTTTATTTTTTTTCACGAGCACGATGGGGGAAGGCTACTGGCTGGACAACAGCTCCATAAAGTCCTTAGCGATTATATTGTCAACTTCGCACTGAATTACTTGACGTTTCTGATGAGACACGCGATATGGACGCTGGCCTGTAGAGGTGGCATCACCAGTATTGATCCAGTGCGTAACAACAGATGTTTGATCCAGAGACGGTCGTCGAAGTAAAAAATGACGCGATAGGACGCAAATAGCTGATGGATTGATTGATCTATATGTGGGGTTTAACGTCCCAAAACCACCATATGATTATCAGAGACGCCGTAGTGGAGGGCTCAAGAAATTTCGACTTTTTAACGTGCACCCAAATCTGAGCACACGGGCCTACAGCATTTCCACCTCCATCGGAAAGGCAGCCGCCCCAGCTGGGATTCGATCCCGCAACCTACGGGTCAGCAGCCGAGTACCTTAGCCACGAGACCACTGCGGCGGGGCGACAGTGAAAGCGAGCGCACTACCTAAAGCAGTATATTTAGTGCAACTCGTCCTTTATGCCGCCGACAATCATATTTCACGTTTTATGATGCTTTCGCCTTAACGTACGGTGTTGTGTCGCAAGTACGGTGGTCGGAAGTGTTCCTCAATGTTGCAAGACTGCTTACTGCCAAATATATCAGAAAATGAGCTAATCTGGCCTGATGACATCAAGCTCGGCAAACTAATTATAATCACGTGAATATAGTGAACGTGAAAAAAAAACACGCCTGCGTAAGAGAAATGGTATGCACATTGATTTCTGCTTAACAACATTTCATTTTTCTTGGTCCGAAGAGGCATAGATGATTGACATGTGGGGCGTAAGGTCACAAAACCACCACATGATTATAAGACACGCCGTAGTGGAGGGCTCTGGAAATTTCGACCACCTGAGGTTTTTTAAAATGTACACCCAAATTCGAGCCCGCGGGTATACAGCATTTTCACGTCCATGAAAAATGGAGCCGCCGCAGCGAGGATTTGATCCCGCGAATTGCGGGGCCGCTGGGTGCCAGCCCAGTATTCTACCACTGAGCTACACCGGTGCTTGCGACTTGTTGTCAAACTTGCCTTCGGCAGGCTTGATGTTGGGAAATCAATCGCGTTAATACGACTTATAAAGCGTTTTAAAACAGCGAAAGAACAACCAGTCGCAATATATGCGATCAGCATAACGAGTGGGTCGTCCAATGCTCCAACCCATTACAAAAGCTTGTTCTTGTTTCCCTAATAACTGTGGCCCATACCCACTACAGCCATAATTCATCACAGTCGTCAGCCACTGCATGGACGATTGGCACAAAATTTCTTGCAAGTGTTCAGCGGACACAACGCTTCTCAGAAGAATGACAAAAAATAGCATAGTGAATGCCGGCCTACTACCCAAAAGTTAATTATTAATGCCCTAGTGGTACCAAGCAAGTGTGCTTGCACTAGTTACCCAACGAGTGTTTTGAAAAGGCTCTGAAAGCCGCTCTTATAGCTTTCGCTACAACTGTGCTGCACCTACCACGCAGGCCTCGCGTTTTCCATCCCCGCTGCATTCCTGTTACAATTAGTCGTTACATATATTTCGTGTTCCCTTAGGTACTCTGTCCCATTGCTTATCCATATGCCCAGATATTTGTATTTATCTGTTATCTCTAGTGTGATCTCGTGTATCATAATCTCACTACCTTCATTATCATTAAAAATCATGACTGCTGATTTTTCCTTACTGAGTCTAAAATATAACTTATCTCCTACATTACCACAGATGTATATCATCTATCAATCTCTGCAAATCTTCCTTGCTGTCGGCCATTAGCACTATACATAGTGTGCACGTACGTCATGCAGCACCCCTTCGTGACTTCCGAAATGCGCCACAGACATGCCCGGGTACCTATTGACTCCGTCGCCTACCGCTGCCATGTTGCCTCCTTGTGCTTGCGCCGATTTAGTTTTGCCTCGCGATGCAAATTTGAGGGCTGCTAGTGAGGCAAGTTGATTTAGTAGTCCCCGAAGAGTGAGCAGAGCTTTGGGGCGTTTCTTCGCCGAAAGTTGTTACCAAAAATTGCGAATGCACATTGCGATTTTCCGAAAAGTACCGGCGTGTTTGGCTGGCGCGGATTAACAAAAAAACTACTTGAAGCTCGGTGATATTTGCGTCTTCAGGTGCAACTTCATTCTGGGTAAGTGCCATAGCCAAGCACTTACCTGTAAACAGAGATAGCTTACCAAGATACTGTACATACATACCTGTCCGCGACCACTGTGCACAATCAGCTTTTCAGGGAGGCGGTTAAAATCGTGATGCGATCGCGGAAATGCGGCTATTGCATTGAAACAAACTGTGAAAATAGATGCGAAATAATATTTGTTCACTTTGAAGTATAGCCGATCGGTAGAGTTGGGGGTTAGGATTTTGAAAAATTGGTCAATCAATTCCCTAACACAGTCTCCATCATTTTTAGAGACTCCACTGTATATTAGTGTACAAAAAAAAAGTAGAATACAAGGTGAAAAAGATGTCAAAACATACACGAAAAAAGAAAGTGATGACCAGCATTTCCGCGGCACGTACTACGCGAAGTCTCTATCTGCCTCGCATAATATTTTCCTTGGCTGTTTTCACAAATTTCAAAAAGGCTCAACATCAGCACTGTTTAAAACACTTTGGGGGGGGGGGGGGGCACTGCTACTTAGGTGGCGTGAGCAACAGCAATATATTCATATTATTATATCTCTTGTAAACTTGCCTAGCTCTGCACGACTCGTTTTTGATGGGAGCTGCTGCACTTCGCTCATCCAATCTTAAACTTGCGGCTCAAGAGACTGAGCTTTCCCTTGTTGTTGGGCCACGCAATTTGTAGTTTTTGAAGTGAAAGAGAGATAATTGGCACTCGCAGGTCGTGGCGAACAGCTGGTGTACGCGGTGGCTGATATACGGGTAGCACATCTTGATTTTCTGGTCGTGTATTGAGGGAACAAACGAAGCCTTTCTGATCCGATGAGCTCGTTAAAGTACGACAACAAAAAACCACAATGCTTCCCATTCAACATCGTACACAGCAGCAGATGACGAGCCCCTAACAAACCGCGCTACAGCACGCGAACTGCCGTAGGTACCCAGGGAGGTATCCGGGCATGGCGGGAGAGGCGACAACGGCGGAAGTGACATCACATGAACACTATGTATATCATCTGCGTACATCAATGCTGGTGGTGCGTGTTAAATGAGCTTTCCTTGTTTGACTGAAGAGAGGCTGAAGCCAAGTCCACTACCCTCTAATTTGGCCTCTAATCCTTGAGGTACATCATGAATAACAAGGGTGACAGAGGACACCCCTGCTTAAGCCAACAGCTCCTAAAATTCTTCAGGCCAGCGCCTCACGTGACATGACGTCAGCTACGTCATCACTCGCCGTCCGACCGGTCCCGCGGGAGCGCGCCGCTTCTGGCACTCCTCTCGCAGTGAACCAGTTGTATCTCGGCAATATTGTTTTCTCTCGCGTCTGAATGTCTTCAAAGGGTATTGTTAATTATAAGAAACTTGTCAAACGTGGAAACTTCCTGTAGTAAGAGTTAGTTTATTCAACATATACGCACGAAACAGGGGCACGAAGCAATGATCAAAAACACAAATAAATGAACATACTAATGAAAATTGCAAATGATACATGAGCACTTTATTTTGGAGCAACAGTTTTCAATTTCCGTGCTTTTGCGACAGCTTTGGCATCGGCTTTAGCAACAGCGGCTCCGTCATTCCTCTCTTTGCAATAATTATTTAGCAGAACATTTGTTGCACATTTATCACCAAATCTGGTTTGTGCCCATTCGCACAACTCACCAGTTCCTCAAATGCTGGCAAGCTCTCCTTCACAAGCTGTTGAACAATACATCTGTTATTTCGTGCCTGCAGAAAGCTCGTGGCATTTTTTTTCATTCTGCAGCAACTTTGCAACAACAACTTCAGTGTGCGTCACTACTGTCACAACACACATTCGGAAATTTCACGCCACCTCGATTGAGACTTGCTATTAAAGAATTAGCATCACCATCGCACTCAGCATCGCAACTGTCAGTAACAAGGTTCTCTTGACAGCAGTTGCACTTCAACGTTTTTTCCACAGAGTTAGTGCAAAAGCCTCCAACATAAGCAAAAACAGCGACGCGTGTGCTTAAGCTGTCAAGGTCTTCAGGTTTGACAGTAACTCTGCAGTCCTGTTGATTTGTGGCTGTTGCCTGTGGAACAGCCTCATCAATGAAATCGTCACTGCTCATAATAGGAAGAGTATATTGTAGGCGAATTCTGCCTTCACTCTCGTACAGCTGCCTAATGCTGATGTGGCAATGACCACCAGCCATTTGCCTGTACTGGCCAAATCTGTTTTCGAGGCCGTCTGTCTGCAGCTTGCCGAGCAGGACATATTTATAACGAAGCTCGACAAGGCAGTACTTGGTGAATTCAAGTATTGCATAGGCGGAATGCCTTAGAGCAGATCGAGTTTCTCGCGAGAATGCCGTTGTGTTTGTAGGATTCGCACACATCCAACCAAGTGACAAATGCATCGAGAAATTCCAGCTTAGGGTCACCATTCAGGCACGAAACTGGCTCTTCATAAACATCTCTGTGGTGTTGGCCTTTGTGAGGTGTTTTAACGTTTACAATCTTCCACCAGCGGAGAACTATCTTGATAAAATTGGCAGTTTCTTTGGCATGCCATAAAGCATGAAAGTTCCAGTGGTGATCCAGTGTCTCAGCTACAAAAACATTGAATATTTGTAGTACTAGCTTAACATTCTGCCTTTCGAAGTTGCTAGGATTTAGCGCCTTTGACGAAAGGCGATAGCTGTAATTCAAAAGCTGAGAAGCCTCTAGCTTGTGCAGCTCCCGAGGATCTTTGAATGATGCCCGCTGTATGCAGTCGGGATGGACACTGTTGTTTGAGAGATCAAACATTGGAAAATAAAGGTTTGTCCCAAGATTATTTTGATTTATCCAGTTGTTTCGGATGCATTTCAACAAGTGCACAAAATCCACAACATAAAACATAAATCTTGTTGCGTCTTTTGGATTTGGGTAAACGATGCTCAGCTTTGGCGGATCTGAAAACATACTGAGTGTCTTGCGATTGATTGCGTTGTCTGAAACTACTGCAGGAACTTTAAAACCTATTTCCTCAACGCCAATGATTACATTTTTCAGGACAGCATGAAGAGAGTGAGCATTCATTGTTCGTGCAGGCAGAATGTGCACCACCTCGCGAAAAGAACTCTGCATGCTTTGCACCATAAACACATGAGCAGAAGTAGCGGCCTCTTCACTGTTTCCTGCTGCCCCTGAAATTTTTCTACCTTTAAAATCGAAGAAAGGCTGGATGTGAATTTCGTCAAGCATGAGAACCACGGCACTTTCATGCGGCTGCAATTGCTTAAATCTGTGCTTTATGTACCTGAGAAAATTTTCACTGGCTGCCTCAGTGTCAGGTGACAAGTGAAACGAGGAGCAGACATTTCGACAAGTACTGAGATGTGGCATGACAAAAAAACCTGAACCCCTCAGAAATTTGTAGGCGTGTGGAGATATGGTATGCAATATGCAAGCAACCACCATACTTTCGGAGGAATACTGCAATCGTTTTCCAAGCAACGCCACTTGTTCTCGCAAGAACCGACTGATACGTTTCTTGCTGTCAATGGCATCTCGTTCAAGTTGCTCGAGAAGGCTAATGACTACGTCACAAAGATTTTCTGAGGAGCATTTTTCATCGAGGATGCTTTGAAGCCTACTTAGGATGGCAGACAGGACATTCACATTCCCAATGCTTCCTGGCACGACATAATCACCTATACGGCTTAATTTGGTACCATGAAAACATACACTGATACTCAGGTCGCTGAAAACAGTAACAGACGACCGCAACAGCGGCATGCTCTCATCAACAATATTTAAAAACAGGGCACAGTGTGTGCGGTGAATTACAATTCCACTCATTTGGCACAGGTGCACTTTCAAACATTCCATAAGCTCAAGAAGCGAGGAAAATCAGCATTTCGTTTCTTCATCACGATAAGAAGCCTCCGATTCTGCGATGGCACGAGCGAGGTCAGCGGCTTCTCGGCGCATTTTTTTTATTTCCGGGCATTCTCTCGAAGAAGGGTCATCCTTTGACAAGTACGTAGGACATCCTGGGAACAGTGTGGGCACTGATCCTGAACGCAGGCGTGGTACTTTCAGTGAGACCTCTAGCACTCTTCCTGCCATAGGATCCGTGTAGGACGACTTGTTCTGAAGGCATGACTCGGTGAAATGCAATGCGCATACCTGCATACCAACAGCAGTCGCAGAGTGTCAGCGAACCTCGGAATGCGTCTAAACATTGCACAAGCGCTTCGCGAACTGTTACAATGAGTATAATTTCGCCATCAGTGTGATGCAATGGTGACATCCAGTTTGCTCTTACCTTGTTGTTTTCCGTAGAAAAGAAATCCTTTCTTGGAATAGCACTGAGCCATTTCTTCCTTAGCACTTCATCCTTGGGGAATGAAAATACTTGAACTTTCTTCCCGGTCTTGTAATTACTTGAACATGCCGGCACACAGCACTTATTGGGCATGTCAGAAGCTTCGTGCAATAAAATTCCGGCAGTAAAATTCACTGCACACAACGCAAAAAAAATGCCTCGGCAGACTCGCGAAAAGAACACGTGCAGCACGGCCATCACCACTGCAGCGAGTGGAAATTCGGGAATGAGCGATGGAACTGGTCAGGAAGTATGGGACTGGTAGGACGGCTGGTGGTGACGTCACAGCGGAGGGCGCAGGCCTGAAGAATTTTTAGGAGGTGTTGCCTAAGCCTTGTTTTACCTCTGTGGGCTTAGATACCTTGTTTTCCCACTTTATAACTACCTTGTTACCTTTAGAGATATCATTTAAAAGATTAGTGACTACATCTTCCACACCTAGTGTGTCCAGTATTCCCAAAAGTCGTCTTGAATCACGCTATCGTACGCCCCCTTGATATCCAAAACTGCTAGCCACAGGGACCCGTGTTCCTTTTCTGCTATTTCGATGCACTGCGACAGGGTGAACAGATTGTCTTCCAACCTTCTAGGTTTTAGAAACCCACTCTGTAGTTCACCCAGCACCCCCTCATCCTCTTTCATTGCCTGCAGTCTTTCCTTTATAACCTGTATCGCCAGCCTGTAGACCGCTGATGTCACCGTTATAGGACGGTAGTTGTTTATGTCAGCTTTGTCCCCCTTTCCTTTATAGATCATGCTCATCCTGCTAAGTTTCCATCCATCGGGGACTTCACCACCGATTGTTATTTTGCTCACTGCCTTTCTCAAAGTCTGCTTAGACTTCAGACCCAATGACTTTAGCAACATAATTGCAATGCCATCTGGGCCTGTTGATGTATTACTAGGAACCTTTTCTCAACCCTTTCCCACTCTCGTGAAAATGGAGCCAATGGGCCACTTCATTCATCCTTGACTTGTCTTTGTTTAACTTTTCTGTCAGCCTTGTTATTATATATTTAATAGCTTCGACCCCTTCTAGCCTAGCACCTTGAGGTGTAGTTATAAACCTCTGCTCTAGGCTCGTTTCATTTCTTAGGGAGTTTAGATGGTTCCCAAGTTTCACACCTGCCTTTCTGTCCTTTTTATGTACTTCTGCGAGCCACTGAGCTCCCTTTCTTCTAATCTTTTCATTGATCAGAAGGGATGCATCCCTTCTACAGCTTAGAAAAATTTCCCTTTTTTTTTTATTACCTGTCTGTTCACCCCGCTACTCAGCATGTTTGTGTTCCGTAGAGGCTTCCTGACGTTTTGCTATGGCTCTCTTAACTTCCTCATCCCACCAACTCTTGGGTTTGTGTCTTCTTTTCCGGGGTGACTTGTCACGTGCCTAAGCAAGCTCTAGCTTAAACAGTCTAATTAGATTCGTGTTTGTCCACACTGTTTTATTATCCTCAGTGATAACTTTCTCGATTTGTTTAGTAGCTATTTCTGTTTGCCTTTCTGAACACAAATCCCCCTGTAGTTGCTTATCTTGTCTCCTTCCCACTTTCATTGCTCTTACAAAACTTACCTTGATCCGTTTGTGATCACTATCCAGTCTTCTGGAGTCACATTCATTTACGTGTATTCCCCTGAGCCTATCATACATTCTATGTGACATCAGTCTATCGTCGACTGCAGCCTTGCTACCTCCCATGTAATTTGCCCTTCACACTTTGCATTTCATTTGCATTTCACACATATCCATGATTTGGCCTGTGGGTCAGTATACCCATCTATATCTTCTATGTTTCCCTGCACGACGACGATAAACACCATGGACCAGTTCAGGAAGTGCAGTGTGAATCGAATAATCGAATGAACCTCTAGCCTTTTGGCCGCCTCAAGTGCAGATGGAGAAATGCACGTGCGCTTATCAGCAACCCGGCGACCTCGAGTCCGAGGTCAACTCACCTCTCCGCTGCCTTTCCACTGTCCGTCGTACACACCCAAATTCTTTTTGGACAGGCCGAGGTCTTTGAGGAAGGAGTACTCGGCCTCGTCGATCAGGAAAGACGCCATTCTCCTAGCAATTATAAGCCGGCACGATGTCTTTGCACGACGAACGAGTAACGGCCACATCACGCCCACTACTGACCCCCCCTCAGAACAGCAGGTATGATCACGTGATGAGTTTTCCGGACCGCGCCGCAGAAACACACGCCTCATAAAAAAAAATCGTTAATTACCTCAGTAAAATAACAAACAATTGATAACTTTTTTATTTATTACACATTTAGTAGTTGTTTTACACATTTTTTATAATTTTTGAATGCAGCAGTACAGTGTACTAGAAGGATGCTAGAAAGGGGCCGTGGAGTGAACGAGGCGACCGCGCCGCATCTCGGCTGATTCTTCCTCCGTGGGTGGGCACTTCCTCCGTGCTGGCGGGTGACAGTAGGGGCGGCGCTGTAGGTGTTTTGTGTTCAGAAACACAGGAGGTTGGAAGACAATTTGTTCTCACTGACGCAGTGCATCGAAATAGTAGAAAAGGAACTCAGACCCGTGTGGCAAGCATTTTTGGATATCAAGGGAGCGTACGCTAGCGTGGTTCAAGAGGACTTGTGGGGAATACTAGACACACACGGACATGGAGTTACTAATCTTTTAAAGGAAATCTATAAAAGTAACAAGGTAGTTATAAAGTGGGGAAAACGGGTATCCATGCCCACAGAGGTGAAACGGGGACTTAGGCAGGGATGTCCACTGTCACCCTTGTTATTCATGATGTACCTACAAGGATTAGAGGCCACATTAGAGGGAAGTGCATGGACTGGGCTTCAACCTTTCTTCCGTCAACCAAAGAAAACTCATTGAACAGGCACTATCAGCATTGATGTACGCAGATGATATAGTGCTAATGGCCGACAACAAGGAAGATTTGCAGAGATTGGTGGGCATCTGCGGTAATGAGAGAGATAGGTTAGATTTCAGATTCAGTGAAGAAAAATCAGCAGTCATAATTTTTAATGACAATGAAGGTAGTGAGCTTAGAATACAGGAGGTCACACTACATATAACAGATAAATACAAATATCTGGGCGTATGGATAAACAATGGGACCGAGTACCTAAGGGAACACGAAATATACGTGTCGACTAAAGGTAACAGGAATGCAGCAGTGATGAAAAATGGGGCACTGTGGAATTACAATAGGTATGATGTTGTGAGAGGAATATGGAAATGGGTCATGGTTCCTGGGCTGACGTTCGGCAATGTGGTATTGTGCATGAGATCAGGTGTTCAAGCAAGATTACAAATTAAGCAACGTAGAATAGGTAGGCTTGCTATAGGAGCTCACGGGAATACAACAAATCAGGGAGTACAAGGTGATATGGGATGGACATCATTTGAGTGGAGGGAAGCTAGCAGCAAGATAAAATTTGAGAAGCGATTGAGAGAAATGGGGGAGGAGCGTTGGGCTAGGAAGGTTTTCGGCTGCTTGTACACATGGAGGAAGGAAAACTCTTTTTTCCCTTCCTCCATGCTTGTACATGAAGAATGTCGATACGAAATGGAGGAAGCGAACCAGGAAATTGACTGGTAAATACTTAAAAACAGCAGGTGGCCAAACCAAAAAGAACTATCGGTTAAGAAGAAAGTGAAGGAAACGGAGACTGACAATTGTGGAGAATCGGCATGATTAAGAAGTCCGCACTAGAGATCTATCGAACTTTTAAACAGGAAATCGCCAAAGAAATGATCTATGATAATACTCGGGGTAGTTCTCTACTGAACGTTTGAGGCCAGGACGGGAGTATTGCGAACCAAGACATATTGGGCCAAATACGAAGGGGTAGACACAGTATGCAGTGCGTGTGGAGAGGAAGAAAAAACTGCCGAACAGTTGATAATGTTCTGTAAAGGGCTTTACCCTATAGTTCAGAATGATGGCGCATAGGTTTTCAAAGCACTGGGGTTTAGGGACAGGGAGGGCAAAATAGACTTTAAGCGGGTAGACTTAACTAGAAGGAGGTTATCTGATTGGTGGCTAAAGTCAAGGCACGGGTGAAAGTTAAACCCTTCACTGCAAAGTACGAATCCTCAACCTCACTATTTAAAGAGAAAAAAAGATAAATCTAATAGTTAGTGCACTAAGCATTACGGCTAGACGGCGTTAGCCGCCGCCCAATCTAAAGGGTACAGCCACATTCATCCATTGATCTATCCATCGGCTGTAGTTCCATGGTACTGAAGATCGTGGGAGCGTCTGCATTGGGAAAGCGCGCGCCCGTGCCTGCGAAAGCGTGTAATTGCTCTTTTTCAGCGTGTTTAATGTGTTTTTGAGCATTTATCAGTGGACGCACCTGCTACGCGCCATGGTGCACGAGTAACTATGCAGGCACGCCGAAATTGCGTCGATACATTCACTGTTTCAAGAGCCTGCCAACCCCCCCCCCCCAAAAAAAAATCGATCGAAATTTGCACGGATCCGCCTAGCTCTACTCAATCAGCGCTTTGAGCGGCGTTACATCATAGGTGGCTACTGGCGAACTACAAAGAGAGGTGAAGTATCAAAAATATGAATAAATCATGCACTCGTTTGTCAGCACTCTCTACGATATCCAGAACACAGTGTTCCTCATATGAGCCTACATGCGCTCTATTGTTTCACGAGAAACCCGAGTGTAAGTAATGTTGTCACAACATTAATTGGTGGCGACTCTTTTTTATGATGCCAGTTTTGTGGAAAATAATATTTATTGCTTTCCGAAAGGCTTATTACATATAAACTTATTAAAAACAACACTCAAACATATTAAAATTGCCAATTGTATATATAGCCCATCTGTTAATCAGCGTAAATTCATTGTAACCAGTTCTCATTTTGTATCGACAGCTTAAATTGTGCTGCTTTACAAATATTCTATTGGCGTAACGCCATTTCAAGTGAGCAAGTTTATGACGATGTTTTGTATTATAAGCGTAGTTCTATCAATAAGTGTCAAAACTGTAGGCAGGCATCGTTTGTGTCATCGTTTTGTTCTCGCGCTATAACTATCGTCTAAAGGGTACAGCCACTGAGGAAGGAAAGGTCTTTCCTTCCTCCGTGGGTACAGCCGTATTAGTTCATCTATCCACGTAGGGTCTCTGATGCGTGCGTCTTTAAAGCGGCGGAGGTATGAAGCGTGGAAGCTTGGGCAAGTTGGTAGGACATAACTGAATGCAGGAGGTAGCCACCCTAGCGGAGGGGGCTCGTGCATCGAGGAACCCTAACACAATGTTCAGCTCAGCCGTGCATTCCGTCACCGTGCTTTACGTG